TCCTAACCCTAACCCGTACCTCTACCCCCCCACAGCTCCTTCTGTAGTCCCTTTACCTCTATCTCTATCTCACCACTGACTCTGATCAGTGTTTCTCCTCTGGATAGCTTATTGTCATAGTGATGATACATTTTTAGTTGTTTCTGTAAGTTTTGTATGTTTTTTGTATTGTTTTATGGCTTTGTTGTAAAGCACTTTGAGTACCATTTGGGTATTGTAAAGGGCTATACAAATAAACTTGATTGATTGATTGATTGATTGATTGATAAATGTAATATTGTGTCTACTCTGTAAGTCGCTTTGGATAAAAGCTTCTTCCAAATGCATAAACATAAACCATAAACATAAACTCTATGTCCCACAGATGACCTGCACTAACAATCTGATTCAGGATTGTAACCAGACATGTTTTCGCTGTGTAAACTAGAGCCAGACGGGTAAATTCTGGTGGTTATTCGGCTTTTGCTTACCACCCTCCACTTCTTCCCCTCCAGCTCCAGCAGGGGGGGCCGTTTCTGCCCGGCGGCCCTGGGGGAGGAAGCCGGGGCCACGCTGGTGTTTTTTTTATTTGGGGCCGAATGAGAGCGCAGGTCGGGGTTCTTGTGGGTCTTCTTCTCCTCCGAAACGTGTTTCAGACCTGGAGAGAGACGGGGAGATGTTCAGTAACGAAGTAGAACAACTTAAGTACTGTACTTAACCTCCTGAGACCCGAGCTTTTATTTGGCATGCATTTTAGCTTTTTTTTTAAAGATATATGAGATACATATTTAATTAAATGTTTTTACAATTTGGTTCTGACAGTCCCATTGACTCATTTACAGTTTTTCTATTACACAATAAGAACATGATTGGATGGAAATTTATAAAACCATTTTACTTTAGATTTCAAACAGTGTCTGATAGCATCTGCTATGAGGTCAAGAGGTCAAAGCTGAAAGAAAAAAAGAAGTATCATGGTAAAGAGAGACAAAAATGCAACGTCCTCTTATGAGGACACAGGGTCTCAGGAGGTTAAGTGCCAAAATGCAGTATCTGTACTTTATTGGAGTATGTATTTTTTGACCTACTTTTACTTTTACTCCACTACATACTTTTGTTTAATTTAATTTAATACTTTTACTTTTACTTTCACGGGCTGAATCGTTGCTCGTTACTGATATGTAAACGTAATGAATCATCCCAAAGTACTGTTGATTGCTAATGCATATGTAGTTTTTTTATTTTTTGTAAACCCCTTTATGGCCTTTTATAGTTTACTTTTATAGTTGTACTGCTGCTTCAGCCAGGTAGTGTGTCTTTCACAGGTTTGAAATAATATAAACAATATCTATCAAACTTTTGACTGCCTTCTTTTTAATATACACAGTACTTCGTACTTATACTTTTACTTTCGATACTTGAGTAGCAAATTTTGAAATACTTCTACTTGCAATACTTGAGTACAAAAAAACTGAGTACTTCCGTACTTCCACTTAAGTCTGATGGTTAAAGAATACTTCTACTTTTACTCAGTCAATACTTTTATATACAGTGGGGGAAATAAGTATTTGACCCCTTGCTGATTTTGCAAGTTTGCCCACTTACAAAGAATGCTAATTTTTCCTCATTAGATGGTTATCAATTTTTATAAATTCATATGATGTGATTTTCTGGAATTTTCTTTGGGATTCTGTCTTTCACTGTGAGAATGTACATATGATTAAAGTTATAGATCGTTGCATTCTTTGTAAGTGGGCAAACCTGCAAAATCAGCAAGGGGTCAAACACTTATTTCCTCCACTGTAAGTACAAAAAAAACTGAGTACTTCCGTACTTCCACTTAAGTCTGATGGTGAAAGAACACTTCAACTTTTACTCAAGTCAATTCTTTTATAAAGTACTTGTACTTCTACTCCACTCCTCTTCTCCAGTACTTTATACCAGTGTTTTTCAACCACCGTGCCTCGGTACACTAGTGTGCTGTTAGTGATGGTCAGGTGTGCCGTATAAAATCATCCTATTTCACCTAATTGGTCTAAAAAGATTTTCTGATAAGTAATTAATTATCTGCAAATAATATTCAATTTTTGAGTGTTTGTGCTGTACTAGTGACTGGTGGAGTAATCATGTAATAATTCCTTATTACTAGATTTTGTATATAATTTTGTATATTGAAGTGGACATGTTAAGTACAATTTGAAAGAAGAAATATAAAATACGATAAAAATACATTTAAGACACTTAAGATAATATAAGAATAACTATAGTGTTACTATAGGCGGCTACAGATTTGTTTGACATTTTTGGTTGGTGGTGTGCCTCGTGATTTTTTCAATGAAAAACTGTACCTTGGCTCAAAAAAGGTTGAAAAACACTGGTTTATACATCTGTGGTCATGACGACCGTCCTTCAGCCTTTTGGCCCCTCCGGGCACCCACCTTTGGTGATGTCCATCCCCTGGTTGAGTTGGGCAAACAAGGCCGAGTG